CTTTCTTTTTGATACGATACTATTGACACTATCTATCCGCAGGGATTTTTATGTTACTTGTCTCCACCATTTGTATATACTACTACGTGTGAAGGGGGCAAGCAAATAATAATGAGAGAGTGTCGTCATGGAATGAAATGCATACATCCAGTGTGTGCCATTAGCAAGTTTGACGAGTGAAGAAGTAATTATAAAGAAAAGTGCCTGAGGTATATTTGTTGTTGTGGTCGTCATGGAACGATTGTATACACATGCGCACCAAGTTTCACCTCCATGCGTGCTCAATTAGCAAGTTTGAGGAGTGAGAAGTAATTAAAGAAAAATTGTTGAAGCTATTTGTTGTTGTGGTCGTCGATGGAAACAATGTAATACACATGACACACCAAGTGTCATCTCCATGCGTGATACTGTTAGCGAGTTGAGGAGTGAAGAAGAAGTACGAAAGAAGAAAGTGTAGAGGATAAAAGGCCTGTGCCTGTTTAGTGTCGTTGTGGTCAGTGAGTGGAACGATTGTAATACACAATGTCGACAAGTTTCACCTCCATGCGTGCTAGCAATTAGCAAGTTGAGGAGTGAAGAAAGTAATTAAAGAAAATGCCTGAGGCTATTGTTGTGTGTGGTCGTCAGTGGAAACGATGTAATACACATGCGCACCAACTTCATCTCCATGCGTGATACTGTTAGCGAGTTGAGGAGTGAAGAAGTAATTTTAAAGAAAAGTGCCTGAGGCTATTTGTTGTTGTAGTGTCATGGAAACGAGGTGTAATACACATGCACACCAAGTTTCACCTCCATGCGTGCTACAATTAGCAGTTTGAGGAGTGAAGAAGGTAATTAAAGAAAATGCCTGAGGCCTTTCGAACAATATGCGGTCGTCATGGAAACATGTAATCATCATGGAGAATGATATAATAGGCATAGGTACCAAGTTACCATGGAAGTTGAGAAGTGAAGAAGTTAATTAAAGAAAAGTGCCTGAGGCTATTGTTGTTGTTTTATTTACAACATGTATGTTGTGATTTTGATGTTGGCTATTGAATACATTGTGTATACAAACTTTCGCTCGCATAACTCTTACTTAGGATAATTATAGGGATTGATCATGGACGCTAGCATCATAGATGTATGGCTATGATAGGGAGTCTTCTTCTTCTTCTTCTTCGACCAGCGTAACTCAAAAACCGAAAGAGATAAAGCCATGAAATTGTAGGAATGTACATATCCATAACCACATGGGACTCATCATACTTTTTTGTTTGTAAACAATGTTGTTTACTGTAAACAACAAACAACAATGCCCCAGGCAATACATTATAATGGGCAATACGTTATAATAGGCATACTACATGTGTCAGTGTAACTCACACATGGTAAGAGTTATGCGAGCGAAAGTTGTGTATACACAATGTATTCAATAGCCAACATCAAAATCCAAACAATACATGTTTGTAATAACAACAACTAGCCTCAGGCACTTTCTATAAATTAACTCTTCATTCTCACACTTTCCAATGGTAGCACGCATAGAGATGAACTTGGTACGTATGCCTATTATATCATTTCATGACGATTACGTGTTTCATGCGACCGCAAAAAATATGTTGTTCGAAACGGCCTCAGCACTTTCTTAAATTACTCTTCACGCCTCAAACTTGCTAACTATAGCATGCATGGAGGTGAAACTGGTGCGCATGTGTATACATCGTTCATGACAACTACAACAACACATAGCCTCGGCACTTTCTCTTGAAAGTGATCTTCTACTCGCAAACTTGCTAACTATAGCATGCATGGAGGTGAACTTGGTGGGTCGATGTGTATTACACAGTTTCCATGACGACCACAACAACAAATAGCCTTCAGGCACTTTTCTTTATAATTACTTGTTCACTCGTCAAACTTGCTAACTATAGCATGCATGGAGGTGAAACTTGGTGCGCATGTGTATTACATCGTTTCCATGACGACCACAACAACAAATAGCCTCAGGCACTTTTCTTTAAAATTACTTGTTCACTCGTCAAACTTGCTAACTATAGCACACATGGAGGTGAAACTTGGTGCCCATGTGTATTACATCGTTTCCATGACGACCACAACAACAAAGAGCCTCAGGCACTTTTCTTTGTAATTACTTCTTCACTCGTCAAACTTGCTAACGGCAGCACACATGAATGGTATGCATTTCATTTCCATGACGACAATTTTTTCTCTATTATTAATTTTTATACACAGAGATAATACGGCATAGCTGATTCGAATTGACCGATCAGATTTGTTAGTACGAGGTTCCTGATTTCTCATATGAACCTCGTGAGCTAACAAAAGTAACATGAAAACATGATATGAAACCTTGTTTTTTCTGTTGATTTTCAACAAGTTCAACAGCATTTCATGTAGGAAATGTATCACGCAAAACATGATCTGTACAAAATGTTGATCAAAATAACTGATATCTTGATTTTCTTTTTCCACAAGACAGTTTTCTGTGTCTGTTTTGAGCCCATCTCCCTCCTTGCCATGTACATACTAGATAGCCAGGCAGGCAGCTCACGATCGCCCACAAACCACCGCACGCAAATAAGGGGGTGGGGCTCCGCGAGCGAGTGCGCGCGACAAAGCTACTAAGTCTACGGCGAACGCCTTCGGTATAGCAGCCCGCACAGCGCCTGAATTCTCCACTGTCGCCTCTCTTTGATTGTGATGGTTCGCGCAGGTCTCCTGTCGCGTTTCTTCGGATGAGTGGCGGAGGACAGTCCCGCAGGGGGAGTAGCTAGAGCGGCGGAGCAGCGTATCCTAGCGTTCGGCGTTCAATAGTCCCGCACAAGATGACGGTCTTGCGCTCTCGTCTCTTTCTCGCATCTTTCAAATTCCCTGTGCTTGGAAACGCGGGCAGTGCGCGTATACGGAGCTGATTTGCTCTGCACTAAACATGTTATGCACTCCGTATACTCGGGATATACCGGATTTCAATGAACCCTCGAGCCATCCGCGTAGTGCCCTCGCTGCGCTCGGGACACTACAAACGCGGAGGCCCTCGGGTTCATTGAAATCCGGTATGTCCCTCGCACGTAGTACATAACATATATGTATATAAAAATGAGTGGAGACAAGTAAATAAAAAATCCTACGGATTAAAAAAACAGTGCATATAGGGATCGTATAAAAAGAAAGGGATACAAGATAGGGATTGTGTTTGTGGAAGCACAGAGATGCTAGCGAGGAGTTAGGACTCCCACAGGTCATTACAACAGCCCTATATCGTCGTACGGTGGGAATACCTAGTATCATAGATGTATGGGGCTATGATAGGGAAAGTTTTCAATCTTCTTCGTAGGGTGGGAGTGGGAGTGATGAGAGAGTCTGTAGAATATTGCTATAGGTAATGAAGTACTTACTAATTACCTTTGATAGATTTGTCATGCTACATTTCCATGGAGTGCACATTTAGGTGGAAGTGTAATCAGCTGACCATAACATTGGATATACATGTTTATACATGGAAAAATTGTGCAACGCAAGAAAACAAAATTCAAGTATGCAAGGTTGGCTCACGAGGAAGTAGTAAAGCACCGATACGACGATATAGGGCTGCTGTAATGACCTGTGGGAGTCCTAACTCCTCGCTAGCATCTCTGTGCTTCCACAAACCCAATCCCTATCTTGTCTCCCTTTCTTTTTATACGATCCCTATATGCACTGTTTTTTTAATCCGCAGGATTTTTTATTTACTTGTATACTAAGTACTACCGTACTTAGTGATAGGGATGGGGCATGGTACCTAGTCATAGATATATGGGGCTATGATAGGCCTTCTACTTCTTCTTCAGATTCAATACTTATTTGTATATAAACATCATTGTTTACTGTAAACAACAAGAAATAGCCCAAGGCAATACATTATAATGGAATCACATGTTTCACGAGCTATGTGAACGAAACTTTGTATACACAATGTGTCAAATAGCCTCAGGAACTTTTCTTTAAATTTACTTGTTCACTTCTCAAACTTTCAAATGATAGAGATGAAATTTGGTACGTATGCCTATTATATGACAATTACATGTTTCCATGACGACCGCATATTGTTTGAAAAAGCCTCAGGTAATTTTCTTTACTCCTAAAACTCTCTAACTGTAGCACGCATCGAGGTGAAACTTGGTGCACACGTGTTTTACATTGTTTCCATGACGACCACAACAAAAAGCCTCAGGAACTTTACTCCTCAAATTCGCTAACGATACCGCGCATGGAGATGAACTTGGTGTTCATGTGTTTTTACATCATTTTCACAACAACAAAAGGCCTCAGGAACGTTTTCTTTCTTCATTGCTAAAGGTAGAACGCATGGAGATGAAAATGTGTATTACATCATTTCCATCACAACATGTTTCTATGACGACTACATATTGCTTCTCCTCAAACTTGCTAACGGTAGCACTCATAGATATCAAACTTGGTCACAATGCGTATGACATCGTCACATTATTTGAACAACAACAAATAGCATAAGCCATTTACTTCTTCACTCCTCAAACTTGCTAACGGCAGCACACATGGATATGAAACTTCATTTCCATGACGGCAACAGCCATGCATAAAAATAAAGGGATACATGAAGCATGGTTAATGAACAAATTTGAGCACGCTGACCCCCATCACACAATCCCTATATTGTTGCCTAGGTGAACATTCAACATTACACAATAGAAGATACGAAAAAGACATGCTACTGAGCTGGATTACTGCGTGATGGCGTGTTTTGCTGCGCTGAATATGCGCACGGAAAATTGCGGGAGGATGCGGACAATCGTCGCAATGTTAAGCGCGTACATGCGAGGAACCGCGCTTTTACGTATCTGGCAGCTTGATGCGTACTGCCCATTCGTGCACTTTAGCGTCACGTACAACACGCGCAAGCGCAACACAATGATGACGCTCAGAGTCAGCAACAACACTTTGGGTTTCGGATTAAAGTTCTACTGTGTCTTGCGGGTCTCTTAGTGCCGCAGGTGTCTGCACTTCCGGTTCTGTTGAAGAATGTAGTCAACGTGACCTGCAATTAGGTAAGTATTACAGTTACGACCTGTATGCATATACTTACATCCCATAATATTTCAATGCCCGGTTTTGTGTTCAGTGTTGGTGAACAGGAGCTCTAGCAGTAAGTTTCTCAGGAGTGTTTGTACTACGCCAGCAATTGTGAGTGGGTAACGCAGGACAGCACAACTTTCTGGCGAGGAGTACCTTCAGGGTTTCCAAAAATAGCCCCTGTGCCTGCATGTAAAACACTAATGTGTTACAAGCTCTCAATGTTAACTTCACATACCTGGGGATGCAAAATCCTGGGGTTGCTCTCGCACTCTTTGCCCTCTCTATCTCGACTCATCAGACTTGCAATATAATGCGGTCATTAGCAAATAGTGTATATATAGGTTACACTATGCACACGAGACGGTTTAGTGGACATACACTACGAGTGCGCAGCAAGAGTAGTGTATGCACGTCTAGTGGGTGTAGTGTAACCAATTTGTACCACAGGAATGCGCACAAAGACAACTTATTAGTATGCATGCCATGGTGTATGAGACCACATGTGAGTGTATGGCTGAGTCAGCACACTATACACCATGGCATGCAACTAATGAGTTGTCTTAGTGCGCATACACTGCGTGCAGTGCCTTTGATTTCTAGGGCTTCTGTGGTACAAATCTAAAGATTTCACAGACCTTCTTCCTTTTAAGACTTGGTTTCCTTTGCATTTGGTCTTGGAGAGAGGCTATATTTCATTTATCATCTGCTGAATGGACAAGTTCACATGTGCAAGGGATGCTTCCACATGAACCATGAATTCATGCATACCCTGCACAGAGTATTGCACAGTACAAAATAGTGTAGGTTGCACTACTGTACACAAATTATTGCACAGTAGGGTGAACAAACACAAAGTATTGCATAAGCTTTCACACATTGTGAGAGCTTCCTGTGTGATAAACTACCTAGTCAGGAGGGATTGTGTAGCATAAGCCACAAGCATGCGTGCCCACCCTGCATTGTGCAGTGCCCACAAATTGCACAGATAACATGCAGAGACTTACAGCTCCAGGTGTAGTGGTAATTAGGACTGTCTATCTTCACCTGAGTATGCCATAGCACACACTGGACAAGGGACTTCCCTTTGTTGGTAGTCCATTCGTGACCTTGAATGTGCGGAGATAGGAGAATCTGAGTCTGACTGAACTTTCACGCTGTCCAGGAGGGAATGATGATCCAGGAGGAGGAGGAGGGAGTTTCTGTGTCGGTAGTTCAGGAAGGAGTGACGATACAGAAGAGGGTTTTTGTGTTTGTGGTTTATGAGAGAGTGATGATCCAGGGGTAGAAGGAGAGGGTTTCTGTGTTGGTGGTTTAGAAGAGAGTGATGATCCCAGAGGAAGTTAAAAACAGCTTACATAGAATCTCAATGGGCACAAATTACCTTCACCTGGGGTAGATGATGCCACTGCCTAGATGATGCCACGGCCACTGGAGCCTCCTGCAACTCTTCTAGTATTTGTGTGTCCATCTCTACATGCATTGTCTTAACCAATGCTTTTTGATCAATGAAAAAATATGGAAAAGTAGGAGTGTGCTGTCAGACCTTTTTGGATTTAGGTCCCTAGGCTGACGGTCTCTAAGCAGCTGCAGCTGGCTGCTTTTATTTTTAGCTTCTTGACAGCCTTTGGTAGCCCTGTATAACATGTACAAATTTTAATGGAATGGAAAGAGAAACCAGTTACTTCCTTACCTTACTTTCTCCGGTTTGGTCCTCTCTTCTCCTTTCTGAAGACCTGCAGCAGTCTCTTCCCCCTTCTGAAGAGTCTCTTCTTCCTTCTGATGACCTAAAGCAAACACAACCTCTGACATAGAGCTAAATATTTTCTACTCCTTTCACACCTTCGTCCATACTTTACTGGAGTCATTGCTTGTACGCTCTAACAGTGGAGCATCTATGCATGAATATCATAGCGACAGATTTGTACAATCACAGCCTTACCTTTCTCTCTCAATCTCTGCTGCCACACATTCAGTATGACTCCCTATGTCGGACAACTTACTTGCCTAAATACATCTCACACACTCTTGCACTAACCAGCTGTCAATATGTTTGCGTTGAAAGTTCCCTCCTTGAGCGTACAATACACTGTCTCTCCCGGCACGCACCCCAAGGTATATATGCCAGCTTGGGCGAATGCTCGGTTCTTCACCGCTGAAGAGGATCCCTGGGGTGATTGTCCTTCGCCAATCCCCCGCACTCTTTCCTCCATACCAAATTCACTCCCAAGCGCCCTCTCCTCCTGGCTGAGGCGTTGGTAAATGAGGAAGTCAGGCCTCCCGCGATAGATATACTCTGTCCCGCTTGGGAGCCGCAAGATGTACTGCACCGATCCCACGGTTCCTCCCCTGGTACTGTGGACTGTGAGTCTCCGGAGGTTTGCCGCCTTGATAATGTGCATCAACACGGTGTTGGCAAACATGGTACCAGTGTCATCGTTGAGGGGCGGCTGAAGAGGTATCAACTCACCCAGCACATCCGTGAAAAGGTCGGGATCTTCGCACTTGTGCGCTTTGCAAGCACATAGGGGAACTTCCCCCTTGCTCTCTAGCCATTCCTTCCCCTTGTCACAGACAGCGGATACATTCTCTACTGTGGTGAGTTCCCCCATAATATCAGCTGCATCAACTATCAATGTGCTCTTCTTCTCTTCTAGCACATTTCGTCACTGTTCCTCTACAAAGTAGGGGTCAGTGAGGTGGATACTTTTGTCCTTCATTCTCCTGTGCTGTAGAGCGCAGCTAAGTAGTTCTGCAGTGTCGGAGTTCAACACCTCTTCCAGAGGTTCAACTTGGGTTGTTACGATGCCCACTCCTTCCAGAAACTTGCTTTGCGCTTCGGCGGAGCTCGCGGTCAGGGGTTCGTATTCTTCTGGAAGAGGAGAAGGTACTGTTCGTACTTGTGGTCTGGCTGGCGTTTCTGCAAGCCTCGCTGCTTGCCGCGTGTTGTACCGGGGTTCCACTGCGGTCGGCGACTTTCTATCAGTCATTTCCACGCTCAACCAGAAACACAAAGGGAGGATCGAAGCAGCTCCACGGCCATTGTCCTTATTGGATAGAAGACGGGGCTATCTTCCCGTCAATCTCACCTTCATCCTCCCACTCAACCAGAAGATATGCTAGTCAGTCAGTCAAAGAAAACGTCTGATCCTCTAGGTCTATAGTTTACCTGGGCGGTTGGTCCGCTGGATTGCTTGTAGCCTTAGATGGCTGATGTGAGCCATTCCTTTCAACCCAATCTCGCTGTAACTGCAAGGGAAGATAGACAGCACACGTGCGCTTGTGTGTACCCGGCGCTCTGAGTTTTCGCGGACTTTGCCGAGCGAGCGCGGGTCACAACGAAAAAGGCTGGGCGGGTGCTGCTATATAATAGGCGTGCGCATGCCTGGAACGTTGTAGCGTGGGAGTAAAACCGAGATCGTTCAGAGCATACGCACGCACCCGCGGCTAAGGAGTGAGTTTTGGGCAGCGTCACCTATGTCCTCCACAAGTTCCCAAAGACAGCCACTGAGATTTCGACGTCAGCTCAGAATCGGACGACTCAAGTGAAAGCAGCGGCGAGTCAGACCTCGACGAACTACTTGAGTTCGAACTGGACGTTCCGCATGTGCATTTGCAGGCGCTTGAGCCCTCCTGGTCCTTACTGCCTTCTGCAAGTGCCGTTAGAGATACGCAACTTTACACTGGAGCTGAAGTTTCTACCTTTTAATGTTATATACCTGTTTTTCAACAATATGCGATTCGGCACAGTTCAACTACAAAACCTTTCACAGAATTGCTGTGCATGTTCCCAACGAGGTACCATGCCAATCCATATATTATACTAACTACTACCGTACTTAGTGATACACGTGTTACGCGCAGTGCACACATTTTATTACCAATCCGTGTTACATACCGCAGCTATGTTGTTCCAGCTTTGCGCTAGCGGTACAAACGAAGGCTCCATACACTCGCCTTCTGGTACGTTTTGAATTTTACTGCCGCCATGTTTGTACGCATTATACATATGCGCACGGAAGCGACTCCGCCGCGCGAGCTGTGAGCGCACAAGTTCTGCTAGAAGCGCTTAGCAGATATTTTATCCGTGGACTACACGTTTAAGGACCCGTTTAAGTTCAGCTAAAACAAGAGGATTAATTGGACACAAACGGAATGAGTGCAAGGAACTGTTAAAGAACTTACGCGATTCAAAATGAATTTAGGACCTACAACCATCTTTTGAAAGTGATGAAACCAAAACATGCGAAATTTTCTTTCCAATTTCACCTGTATGTATACTCTAAGTCTGTTGTGGTTTGATTCCGAAATTATCTTCTCTGTTGGATGGAGAAGTCGTTAAACAGTAAGTGTTGTTGAATGATCCATTAAAGTCTAGCTGAATCATGAGGATTAATTGGACACTGACGAAAAATAGAATAGGTGTAAGAAACTGTTAAAGTTCTCCACCGTCTTTAATTGAACACTGACGCGATTGAAAATGAGTTTAGGGCCCACAACCATCTTTAGAGAGTGATGAAACGAAACTTTCTTACAGACCTCACCTGTATGCTCTAAGTCTGTTTGTGGTATATTTTCTCTGTTCGATGGAGAAGCCGTTAAACGGTAAGTGTTATTTAAGGACCCATCTGAATCATGAGCATTAATTGAACGCTGACGAAGAAAAGAATAGGTGTAAGAAACTGTTTATTTGATGCAGAGTGGGTTTATGACCCACAAACACTCTATATCTCCGTGTGATTGAGAATTCAATAAACGGTAAGTGTTGTTTAAGGACACATTGACACATTTAAGTTAGAGGACAAGTTAACTCTAATACACTAGTCAGAAAACCTTCAAAAATATTCAAACGTTTCGGTGATAATGCAGTCTAATTATAAGGAGGCGGAAAGGAAGCTACAGGAAGAGGGAGAGATTGTTCGGTACAGTCGAACCACCCCGAACTCGTGTAAAAGAACTCTATATAACTTGCAAAGGCAAATGTATAGCAGCCTTGGAATGCGTAAACAGGGAGATATACATAAGTGGTGAAGGCGAACACAACGACCCAGACAACTAAACAAGGTTTTAATACTCTGGATGCATGTGTCCCTGTTCAGAGTATGTGCAGTAGATCTAATCAGGAATTACTCACATACTAGTCTGTAGTGATAGTCAGGGCAGTTACGCAGGACAGACACATTTTCCCAGTCAACAGGGTGACTGGCCGACCAGACGTGTTCAGACAGAGCCGAACAATTGAAATCTGCTTGTTTTACAGCTCTCTTATGTTCAGTGAGGCGTTGACAGAATCTACGACCTGTTTGACCAATGTAAACACATGGACAGTGCGCACAGGGGATTTTGTACACCACTCCTGATGTCTGCAGAGCTGGCATCTGGTCCTTGGGTTTCGAGAGTAAGGACCTCAGGGTATGGCACGGTCGAAAATACACTCATGCGTAAGGATGCGTCTATATTGATTCCGATACACCCTTGACATATGGCAACACGGAAACAGCTCTCCATTCAGGGGCGGGTTCAGCAGTACGAGTCAGTGGCTGTTGAGAAGATGTAATAAACCCTTTCGGGTATCCATTCTTGTGAAGGGCAGAATGACGTAATTTAGTTCCTGGGTTTTGTAGTGATCAGAGGAGGAATGAGTTGCTGCTCTAGAGGTAAGGGTACTGACAACAGCCCTCTTGTGGGATAAAGGGTGGTGGGAGGCAAAATTGAGGTACTGGTCAGTGTGTGTTGATTTCCTGAACGCTGAAGTAGATAAAGAGCCAACCGGAAAACGTTCAATTTTGATGTCCAAGAAGGGGGGGGGGCAACCGTCATTCTCGATCTCCACAGTAAATTTATTCAGATGTTGGAGAAAATGCTGGACAATGCTCTTGTGAACGACATCATCCACATACCTCTTCCAGAAGGGAAGCTGGACATCATATGTAGCCAGAGCCCGTTCTTCCACGTCCTCCATGACAATAGACACTGACACTAGAGAACCCATTGCAGTTCCGTAAGTCTGCTGAAAAAATCGACCACGGAAGGACATGTAGGTAGCATTGAGGCAAAATTTTAGAAGAATGATGATATCCTGAATCGATAATTTTGTTCGGAGGCATAAGGTGTTGTCGCCAGTTAGTCTGCGATGAGCAACAGAAATAGCTAACTCCACAGGAACTCGAGTAAACAAAGAAACAACATCAAAAGAGGCATCCGGCCCCACAGACTTCGTTGTAATAAATCACGCAAATTCCTGAGAGCTCTGGATGTGAAAGTCAGAGTTACCTATCAAGGGAGCAAATAACCTGGATAGGTATTTTGAGAGCTGGTACGTTGGCGAGGAGAAGAATGACACTATAGGTCGAAGGGGTATCAGGCTTATGTATTTTAGGAAGACCGTAAATGAATGGAGTCAGGCCACCAGAAGAGTTGTATAATTTAGCACCTTTCTTCTTCAATTGTAGGAGTAATGAGTTTAGCTTCCTTTCCATAGAGGGAGTGGGGTCTGAATGTTCCTTGTAGGTGTCACCATCATTGAGTAGGGACAGCATTTTCCCATCATAGTCAGGCTTATCAAGGATTACAAGTAGCTCTCCCCTTGTCAGCAGGGAGAATCAAGACATCAATCCTCTTTCCTAAAGATTTCAGGGCACTGCGCATTAGAGGTGGAATAATCGAAGGTGGTGGCTTTGATTTCATAAGATTACCTGCGACCCGTTTACCTTGTACCGCCAGAAAGAGAGAAAAGGGGGCGGTATCGCCCAGTCAGTTTGTGTGGAGGATGTAGAGGTAGGTAGATGAACTTTAACCCTTTGGACGCCATAGGTATCTCCTTAATACTCTGCCCCCTTCCTTTCTTCCCACTGTTACATTTTTCATGACCAAAAGTGCACAAACAATTACACAAATGACACATTGCTGTTCAGTTCAGTAACCTATGACACGGCTATAAGATTTTGTGAGTTTAATCAAATCAGTAATTGCTAGCTTAAATGGGTGAAACAATACATATTGCATGATATCTTCTATATTCGGATGCCTGGCAGTAAAATTCCATTCCCGGAGAACAGAAAGTTGAGTGTAGCGTGCGAGAGGATTTGGACGCTCTCTCTGGTCAACTGACGCCCATTTTGCTCATGAAGCTGTTACCGCAATGGGTGTTTCTGGAACATTCGCTGAGTCAAACCTAATAATTTGGTTTGCCCTTCTTGCTGAGACATTTGGTATTCCACCACTGCTTCCAGAGATACGATGCTCGTTCCAAGCAGCTACGAAGTTCTTAATGGCTGATTGCACAACATTGATAGTTGTCCATGAGACAAAAACCTTGTTAGGCTGTCACTCATGTCGATCTCCCCTGCTGATTCCATTGCAACTAGCACCTGCTTGACAGGATAATTAACTCTCTGATTAGACTGTGCACAGAAGACCCAATCTCTGTGTCGAGTTCAACATTGTCGTTTTGAAAGGACAAGCACTAGCTCACTACTTCTACAAGGAGTACCAGGCCAGGGGAGCACCACACTACCACATCCTCCTGTGGATAGAGGGTGCCCCCGTAGCTGGCAAAGACGACGTCGATGTGGTAGTACAGTGGATCCAGGAGAGGATCACCTGCCGCATACCCGAGGAGGCCAGCAACTCAGAGCTGCACACACTGGTTACCAAGTATCAGTACCTAACGTTGTTCGTGTAATGATTCGCCTGTTTCCAGAATATGGTGGGGATGGTGCATGATGCTCTTGAGGAAGAGCAGCATTTCAAACCTCAACTGGGGTAATTTAAAGGCTTACGTACTAAAATGGTCATAATTATCACTCTGCAATGTAGATCGAAGGATCCCTACAACAAGGCTGTTGAAAAGCGAATTGAAGAGGAGATAAAGTTAACAAAAGAGAATTCGTACTCAAAGATATTGATTGAGAGTAAGATTTTGTACAATCATACTTTGTATTGTTCGTATTGTCCGTTCTGTCAGGAGCCATTCAAAGGTATTTTTAGTCCCGCCATTGAAGCTGGAGAGAATTGACTGACCCTGCACAACAAGAGAGAGTTGTTAAACAGGCTAAAAATAGAAGAATTAAACAACGTGTAAGTGATTTTCACTCTTTCTTTTGTAGCTCTTTGATCGCAGGCAGAAAGCTCTTAGTACTCCAAACGAAAAGGAGAGGTATAAACAGCTTTCCCTGTGTCTGAGGAATCCAGCTCTGAGGAAGGAAGAGTTTGTGTTCATCGGCCACAGTGGCGATCTGACGGTAGGTGGTAATTTCCTGATTAATCCTCGGTGCGCATGCGCAGTGAGGGTTACAGTACTTGGTCTGTGTGTCTGTCTGTTACCACGTTTTCTTCCACCACGCGCAACAAGACGGCCAAAAAGCTATACCAACGGGTTCGGCACTACACTGGCTTGATTTTTAAAATGGCGATTTTTGTAAAAGTGCTGCCTTTTAAAGTTATGGCGTGAAAACCAAGTCAACAAGCCAATATGCAAATGAGCAATGGCTTACCTCAACCGGGCTTTTACCCGCTTTGTGCACTGTGTGAGCTAGGCTTTTCCCGTTTTGTGCACAAGCTACTCAACGGAACTACTCAACGGTCGAGTAGTTAGTCAAACGCTCTTTTAAAACGCTACCTTCTGATCCAGCTTCCGGGTGAGAGCGAGAAAGGACTGCAGCAGGTGACCACGTGGTCAAGCACAATTAGCGGTACTTTTACGCATAATTATGCGTACAAAACGAGCGCACACCAAGGGTTTGCACTTTAGTGCTTTTCATTTTAGCAGGAGTTTCACTTACTTTTCTTGCAGTTTTAAACCGCTTTCTCCAAGAGCTTGATTCAAGGCTTGCTACTGAATCCAAGAAGCACATCCCAGAGAGAAAAGGACGAGTTATTGGGTCGGCTTCATATTCTCCCTCCCAAGAGTGGAACAAAACAATGGTTTTTGTAATGTTTAGCTATTAGAAGAATTTGTTTCAGGTGATGCTGGCAAGAACTAGGAGTTGCAGCTTAGTTGCAAGACTGTTGTGTTAGCTGACTGAAAACTACATCTACGTTTTGTTTGATTCTCCATTCAATTTTATTAAGCTGAGCAATAATAATATGTGTAAAAAAACAGTAGTATTGAGTTTACGAAGTAAGTAAACCAAAAATAAGCCTTGTCTTACTTCTGCCTTACTGCAAGGTTACTCCAAGGTTACTCCTATTGTAAACCCTATGTAAAATAACAGTAAACAGAGTGTTCCCATTATATACAAAGAATACCACACTTTTACGTGTTAGTTATAATAACGTAGACCAAGAGGAAACTATCAAGTAAAACTGTAGTGGCCTCAAGTATTACTGAAAGGTAATTGCTGTCACTCTGAGTAGTGGAAGGCGCTGGTTATGGGCAGCGAAGTCCACACCAAACAAAACCTAGAGGATTTATCTAGTAGGTATCAATTTTGGATAGAGATCCGCGGCACCAAAAGCGAGAAACAGGCGAAAAACGAATCCAAAATTGATACATTACAAACCGATGGTATACCTATCTTTTGCCCCAAGAAATGCTGTAGCACACGTCTAACTACACCGCCTCGACAAAGGTGGACTTTACCGGCCATAGCCATCTTTCTAAACAGCGTCACGTGATTCATCGGAAATTCACTCACGTGTGCGCGTGTGAGGATCAGCTCTGAGATACCCCAGGTACCAGCAGCCCCTCTAGCCTTAGCTCTAGTCTCGGTACCAGCCCCTCTCAGACGGGAGAGAGGGTCTGGTACCGACACTAACCAAGCTCTGCTTGGTGCTGGCGGGTCGTCGCTCGTTCTCTCGCCGGGGCCTCTACTCGCAGGGACTCGCACTGTACGAGCGCAGCTGGGAGGACTCAGCGTGGCGCACCGACGCATTGACATGAATACCATGGCAACTATGTAATTTCAAACCGCGGTATGCGTACTCGCGCGACAAACACAAGGCCCAGTCCTGAGTATATGCCATCCCTACTTTTCCATCCCTATATTCCTTCTTTGCAAGATTTTTTATTTACTTGTCTCCACTTATTTTTTGCCTCTCACGAGAGAATTAATGATGTAATATACAAGGGAGTACATGATTAAATACGAGAGATAAATACTTGTTTCTTTTTAAGTCCTCCCATCCCCCCCCCACCCCCTCCACCCTCTTCCCTTTCCTCCACTCCATCCTCTCCTCTTCCCTCCCCCTCTCTCCCCTCCCCCTCTATCTCCTCCCTCCTGTTTCCCTCCCTCTGTCCTCTCCCCCTGCCCCTCCCCCTCCCTCTTCCCCTCTCCTCCTGATGTCCCCCCTCGCCACCCTTCTCTCTCTCCTCCCTTTCCTAAATAATTTACTCCATTGTTTAATCTTTAATGTACACTTACCTTCATTAATTGTTCAACTTTCTCTCTCAGCATTATTAATTCCCTAACCACCTCTGCCAATCCAACCCCTACATTGGAAAGACTAGTATAATGCACTGCACCATTACTATCACTAAGTACGGTAGTACTACTAAGTACGGTAGTACTTAGTATATAGGGATTGACATGGTACCTAGCATCATAGATGTATGGGGCTATGATAGGGAGTTTTGTTCATCTTCTTCTTCTTCTTCTTCTTCTTAAACCAGCGTAACTCATAAACCGAAAGAGATAAAGCCGTGAAATTTTGTAGGAATCTACATATCGATAACCACATGTGCAACGTCATACTATTTTGTTTGTAAACAATGTTGTTTACTGTAAACAACAGCAAAATTGCCCCAGGCAATACATTATTATGGGCAATAGATTTTAATGGGCATACTAGATGTGTCGGTGTAACTCACAATTTGTAAGAGCTATGTGAAAGAAAGTTTGTATACATAATGGATTCAATAGCCAACATTCACATCACAACAACACATGTTTGTAAATAACAACAAATAGCCTCAGGCACTTTTCTTTAAATAATACTTCTTCACCCCACAAACTTGCTAACTGTTGCACGCATAGAGATGAAACTTGGTGTGTATGCCTATTATATCATTTCCACCACGATTACATGTTTCCATGACGATTGTTCGAAAAGGCCTCAGGCAATTTTCTTTAAATTACTTCTTCACTCCTCAAACTTGCTAATTGTAGCACGCATGGAGATGAAACTTGGTGTGTTACATCATTTCCATGACGACCACAACAACAAATAGCCTCAGGCAAATTTCTTTATAATTACTTCTTCACTTCTCAAACTTTCCAATGGTAGGGCATATAGAGATGAAACATGGTATGTATGCCTTATATATAATTTCCGTGACGATTACATGTTTCCATGACGACCGCATATTGGGTGAAAAAGCCTCAGGCAATATTCTTTAATATTAGTTCTTCACTTCTCAACCTTGCTAACTGTAGCATGCATGGAGGTGAAACTTGGTGCGCATGTGTATTACATCGTTTCTACGACGAACACAACAACAAATAGCCTCAGGCACTTTTACTTCTTCACTCCTCAAACTCGCTAACGGTACCACGCATGGAGGTGAAACTTGGTGCGCATGTGTATTACATCGTTTCCATGACGACCACAACAACAAATAGCCTCAGCCACTTTTCTTTGTAATTACTTCTTCACTCCTCAAACTCGCTAACGGTACCACGCATGGAGGTGAAACTTGGTGCGCATGTGTATTACATCGTTTCCATGACGAACTCAACAACAAATAGCCTCAGGCACTTTTCTTTGTAATTACTTCTTCGCTCCTCAAACTTGCTAACGGCAGCACACATGGATGGTATGCATTTCATTTCCATGACGACAACAGGCATTTTTTTCTATTATTAATTTTTATAGCCCCCTTCCACAGAAATAATACATAAAAATGAGTGGAGACAAGTAAATAAAAAATCCTGCGGATTAAAAAAAGAGTGCATATAGGGATCGTATAAAAAGAAAGGGAGACTAGATAGGGATTGTGTTTGTGGAAACACAGAGATGCTAGCGAGGAGTTAGGACTCCCACAGGTCATTACAACAGCCCTATATCGTCGTATCGGTTCTTTACTACTTCCTCGTCAATATATCTGCATACGTACTTGAATTTTGTTTTCTTGCGTTACACAATTTTTCCACGTTTCCATGTATATACATGTATATCCAATGTTATGGTCAGCTGATTACACTTCCACCTCAATGTGCACTCCATGGAAATGTAGCATGACAAATCTATCAAAGGTAATTAGTAAGTACTTCATTACCTATAGCTCATTATTCCCACTCCCACCCTACGAAGAAGATTGAAATCTTCCCTATCATAGCCCCATACATCTATGATGCCACCGTACGATGATATAGGGCTATTGTAATGACCTGTGGGAGTCCTAACTCCTCCAGCAGTCGTAAAAGATTGGCGCTGTATTGCATAGCCTGTGGTGACCACGCCAAATCTAAACAACGCACTTGTGGTTTTGAACTAATGAGATTCATCCCCACAAGGCTTTGCTCAGGCGCAGCACTTGCATGGACATTTTCCATTTAAGTAGGGTATTGTATGGACTCTTGATGCACCAAGTTTGGTTTCCTGTAGGTGATATGGCTCTCTAAACATTGCATATAGAAGAAAGGGCATGCCCTGCCGAACTGTCAGACGTTGAGGCCATGGGGGTGGAGCTAGAGGGTGGAGTTATGTGACTGTCACTCGGGGTTAGGTAGAGGGAGGATAGATCTATCACGGGATACCATCATCACTTCCGTAGGTGTTTCCCTTATTTGAGGAAGTTGGTTTAAAGTTGGTGAACAACGCCATATTTGAAAATGGGTAAGGGTTAAGACTAGGGAAGAGGAATGTCCCCGATAAGGCGCGCTTGACATCTGTGGGAAGGAAAAGGGGTTCGTTGGGAGGTGTGGCGATGCCATTAAAAGAGGAACCGTCCGTCCGACATGG